AAAAAAAAAACAGGAAAAATGGAGATATGACTTAAGTGGTACACACACACACACACACACAGAATGAAGCTCAGTAGTACAGCTTAGTGGTTCAGTGCTTGCCTAGCATGCCAAACTAGAAGTGGAGCTATAGTTTAAAGTGGTAAAGCACTAACCTTGAGCAAAAGAGCTCAGGGACAGCACCTAGCCCCACAACTCACACACTCTCACTCACACACACACAGGTCTAAAACATGACACTTACTCACAAACTATATAGGATAGGGTTTGATACTGTATCTTTTCTACGATCAGAAAGTCCTCATAGTGGAGGACTTACTCATGTGACTATTTGAATCCTCTCTACTGGGGCTCATGAAGATAAAACAATGTATGTTTTGCTCACCACTTTGCTAGTCTAGAACCTGGCACAAAGTAAACAGTCAAATATTTGACTAAAATGAAAAAAAATTAAGCTATCACTAAAAGCATATTTATCATACAGCAGGCATTTGTTTTTGAGACAGGATCTCACTACAAAGGCTGAGTGGAACATAAAGTCTGTTTCTGCCTCTGTCCCCCAAGTACTAGAAGTCACAGGTATATATTAGCTACATGGGCATTTTAGATTGAGGGGAAGAGGACTGTGTGAGTGTATGGGTCTTAGGGCTTAAACTCAGGTCCTTGGAGCTTAGGCTAGTGCTCTACCATTTGTGCTGCACCTCCACTTTCAACTTTATGGTAGTTAATTGGAGATAAAGAGTCTCATGGACTTTCTTCCTCAGGGCTGCCTTCTAACTGTGATACTCAGATCTAAGCATCTTAAGTAACCAGGATTACAGGCATACGCACATTGCCTGGCCTTCATTTTAGTTTTTTTAAACCCTCCTATAATCCTAGGATAAACTTGCTAAGTAGGAGAATTAGGCTACCAGAAATTTACCTTGTCTAAAACTTCATGTACTAAATGACAAAACAATAAACCTACATCTCTCTTCCTCAATGAAGTCCACACATTTTTTTTAACTATATATTGATATATACTGTTCAATGCTGCTTTGCTAACTTTCCATTTCTTGGCAATTTTTAGAGGAATTTGTTTTGTGAAAAGTGACTCTATCATTTCCCAAGCTTCCATTCTGTTCTATTACCCCCAAAATCCCATTCCTTCACATTAATACAGCAAGAGTATCATGTTCTTGTTAACATATTACCAGAAACTTAATCAATAATGGGAGAAGTGGGCTGGGAATGTGGCTTAGTGGTAGAGTGCTTGCCTAACATGCATGAAACCCTGGATTCCATTCCTCAGTACCACATAAACAGAAAAAGCCAGAAGTGGAGCTGTGGGCTCAAGTAGTAGAATATAAGCCTTGAACAAAATCAGCTCAGGGACAGTGCCCAGGCCTTGAGTTCAAGCCCCAGGACTAGCAAAAATAATAGTAATAGTAGTAGTAATAGTAGTAGTAGTAGCAGCAGCAGCAGCAGCAGAAGCAGCAGCAGCAGTAGAAAGAGGCCAAGTGGCTCATACTGTGATCCTAGCTCCTCAGGAGACTGAGATCTGAGGATTACAGTTCAAAGCCAGCACTGGCAGGAAAGACTATAAAACTCTTATCTCCAATTAACCATCAAAAAGACAGTAGTGGGGTTGGGAAGGTGGCTCAGTGGTAGGGTGCTTGCCTTGCATGCATTAGGCTCTGGGTTCGATTCTGCAGCACCACATAAACAGAAAAAGCTGAAGTGGCACTGTGGCTCAAGTGGTAGAGCGCTAGCCTTGAGCTGAAGAGCTGAGGGACAGCACCTAGCCCCAGAGTTCAAGCCCCACAACCAACAAAAAATAAAAATTGGAGCTGTGGCTTTAAGGGGTAGAATGTTAGTCTTGAGCACAAAAGCTCAGATATAGTGCTTAGGCCCTAAGTTCAAGCAGCAAAAAGAAAAAGGAACACACACACACACACACACACACACACACACACACACAGAAGGTGGCTCAGTGGTAGAGCACTTGCCTTGCATGCATTAGGCCCTAAGTTCAAGCAGCAAAAAGAAAAAGGAACACACACACACACAGAAGGTGGCTCAGTGGTAGAGCACTTGCCTTGCATGCATGAGGCCCTGGGTTCCATTCCTCAGTACCTCATAAGCAGAAGAAAAAAAAAAAAGCCGGAAGTGGCCCTGTGGCCAAACAAACGAAAGAGTGTCTATAAAAGAAAATGAAGGTCAGTGCCAGGCCCTGAATTCAAGCCCCAGGATTAGGGGTACATGGGGGAGGAGGGTTACAAAACAATATTACTGTTATTTCAGTCTCTACAAAGAACTAAGAAGGAAGAATTCCAGAGTATGGACAAGACTTCCTCCAGGACAATTTGAAATAAAGTCAGGTCTCCAAATAACTGGCCACTAAAGATGACTCTAATAAGGAAAGGTATTATTGCTATCTTCCCCGCTGCTGTAGAAAATTAAGAATAAGCAAAGATGAACCACTTTCAGAAAAATTACAATGCGATAAGCACTGCTGTTTTGTATTATAATCTCAACACAAACATGTTTTCAGAGGAATCCAAGACTCTGGAAGGTTTTTACAAAAATGATACAGAATTGTTTGTGACTTTAAGTAGCACTATCCCACAATACTGTGAAATTTGTAAAAGTTATATAATCACTTAATCTCAATAAAAAATTATTTAAAAAAATGATATACAACATGTACACACACTCTACAAACAAAATAAACAGTACTTCAAAAATATAAACTTTTGGGGCTGGGAAGGTGGCTCAGTGGTAGAGCGCTTGCCACACATGCATGAGGCCCTGGGTTTGATTCCTCAGCACCATATAAGCAGAAAAGGCCAGAAGTGGCGCTATGACTCAAGTGATAGAGCAATACTAGCCTTGAGGCTGAAGAGCTGAGGGACAGCGCCCAGGCCCAGAGTTCAGGCCCCACCATCAACCAAAAAAAAAAAAAGTATATATATATATGTGTGTATATATATGTATATATGTGTGTATATATGTGTATATGTATGTATGTGTCTCTCTCTATATAGACACATACATACATACATACACACACACACATATATATAAACACACGTGTGGGGCTGGGAAGGTGGCTCAGTGGTAGAGCGCTTGCCTTGCATGCATGAGGCCCTGGGTTCAATTCCTCAGCACCACATAAGCAAAAAGAAAAAAGCCAGAAGTGGTGCTGTGGCTCAAGTGGTAGAGCGCTAGCCTTGAGCTGAAGAGCTGAGGGACAGCACCCAGGCCCAGAGTTCAGGCCCCACGACCGAACCCAAAAAAAAAAAAAAAGAAGTAGATAGGCATGCTGGGGCACACCAATCATCCCAGCAATTTAGGAGGCAAGAAGATCTCAAGTTTGAGGCCAGCCTATACTACAAGCAAAGACTGTCTCAAAAAAAGGAAGTCTACTTCAGGGACTAGGAATGGAGCTCAATGGTAAATAATATGCTTACCATGTACAATGTTCTGGATTCAATCTCCAGCACTATATAATAATTCTAGAATATAAAAATGTAATTTCAGCCAGGTCCTGTGGCTCATGCTTATAATCCTAGCTACTCAGGAGGCTGAGATCTGCAAATCCCAGTTCAAAGTTAGCCCAGGCAGCAAAGTCTGAGACTCTTATCTCTAAATAATCACCAACAGCTGGGAAGGTGGCTCAGCTGTAGAGTGCTTGCATGCATGAGGCACTGGGTTCAATTCCTTAGAACCACATAAACAGAAAAAGCCTGAAGTGGCGCTCTGCCTCAAATGGTAGAGTGCTAGCCTTGAGCTGAAGAGGTGAGGGACAGAGTACAGGCCCAGAGCTCAAGCCCCACAAACGACAAGAAAGAAAAGAACAAAAAACAAAAAACACCTGCTAAGTCCTAAAGGGTACTTGGTGAAATATGTGTATATATTAACTCTTCAGGACACATAAAACTATAAAATTATACATACAGAATGCTAGAAAAGACAAAAATTGCCTAGAAACTTCTACAGAATTCTGTTTCTACCTTTTTGGAGAAGGACCTTTTCAGCTATGTTTGCACAACTAGACCCCAAACTCACGCTAACACTAATTACACTACTAAGAGAAAACTGAGCCAAGTATAATTCATCAAATTTTCCTTCCCAGAAATAGAAATATGAACACTGAGCTGGCTAGTAACAATCAGCTGGCTAGTAACATGAGAGCTTGGCTTCATGTGAGGCTTCAGAAATGAAGCAGCCATGTTCTTCCACGTGTTTGTTGTGCCACACAACAGAAGGTTCACAAAGACAGGAACAAAAAAGAAACAGAGAACACATCTAACCAACTGGGAGAGCTATCTAACTATCTAACTATCTTGCCTTGAGAATGCTTTAGTTTGCTATTCATGTCCATCATACAGTCAACTGCTCTTGGGTTCTCTTACAATACTTTGGCCCTTCTGCACACTTGCCTTCAAAGCACTTCTTTTCTTATTCCTTGCCATCAAAAAGTAACATTACAGTCTAGATGCCAATGGCTCAAGCCCATAATCCTAGCTACTCAAGAGGCTGAGAACAGTTCAAAGCCAGCCTGGGAAGTAAAGTCCTTAAGGCTCTAATCTCCCATTAACTACTAAAGCCAGAAATTAAGCTGTAGCTCAAAGTGGTAGAGTACTAATCTTGAGCACAAAAGCTGAGGGACAGTGCTCAGGCCCTGAGTTCAAAAGCTAGGATCAGCAACAAAAATAAGTCACTGCAATAGGTTGACACAAATTCATACCACACTCATTCCAAGAAAGGTCATCTATTTGTCTGGTTCATAAAGAATCTGAGACACCAGAAAAGAAGTTTCTACTCACTATCCATAACTTCACGAGGAATAACAGTATGAAAATAAAAGCAAAAAAATCTCTGTGAGAACTGGATTGCAACTCAAAGTACTTGCCTAGTTTGTGAAAGGTCCACAGCACAACCAAAAAAATTTTAAATGTTATTTCAAATCACATATTTGCATGTGCCTCCAACTTTGTGCTTCTCTTCCAACTTACCTGTTCAAAAGCTCTGCTGGTTCACAGCAAGAGGTTAGAGTAGACTGTTCAGGTCCTTTTAACACTGTAAATAAAAAAAGCATTACATGTAAATCACCTAGCACTCTTTTAGGAAACTGAAAGCTTTTTATCATGAATATATTTTATAGGAAATAGTTCCAAACCTTGTTAAAATACTAGAATCACCTGGTATGTTTATAAACTAGATTTGTTGGCAGCACAGTGAAACATGTCAGCAGTTCCAGCTACTCCGGAGTCTAAGGCAGGAGGATCATTTGAGCATAGAAGTTCATGACCTAGGCAACATAGCCCAGAGTCTAGATTCACTCTCATCAAAAAACAGAAGAGGAGGGCTGGGAAGATGGCTCAGTGGTAAAGTGCTTGCCTTGCATGCATGAGGCCCTCGGTTCGATTGCATGAGGCCCTCGGTTCGATTGCATGAGGCTCTCAGTTCGATTCCTCAGCACCACATAAGCAGAAAAAGCCAGAAGCGGCACTATGGCTCAAATGGTAGAACGCTAGCATTGAGCTGAAGAGCTGAGGGATAGCGCCCAGGCCCCAATTTCAGACCCCACGACCAACCAAAAAAAAGAAACAGAAGAGGGATGAAAAATGTATTTTTTTTCTTTTACAAAAAGCCTAACTGATTCTGATGATGCTGATTAACACTACAGTGCCTCGGAGAGATTGTTATTTGGGATTTTATTCAAAACCGTATATTACAGGAGTTTGTTATTATTTTGTTGTTAACTCTTTTGTTCCAGTCCTAGGGCTTAAATTCAGGACCTGGGCACTGTCTCTGAGCTTTTTCGCTCAGAAATACCACTTGAGTCACAGCTCCACTTCCAGCTTTTTTGGTAATTCACTGAAAATAAAAAGAGTTTCATGGACTTTCCTGCCTGTGCTGGCTTCAAATCACAAGCCTCAGATCTTAAGCCTCCTGCGTAGCTGGGATTCCAGTCATTAGCCACTGGCACAAGTTATTAACTGTTACAGAATATCTGACAGAAAAATAAAATAGAGTAGCATCACAGCAATGTAAATCCTCTACATGTATCAAGTACCCAGAAATTTGACTACTACCAAAATATCCAAAGAGCAAAGCTCCAGATGTGCTTCCTGCTGCAAAATCACAACCTACTGATAATGGTATGTTGACAAGAATCATCTTAAAAATCCAAGATAGAGGGGCTGGGAAGGTGGCTCAGTGGTAAAGCGCTTGCCTTGCATGCATGAGGTCCTGGGTTCCATTCCTCAGCACCACATAAGGGGAAAAAGCCGGAAGTGGTGCTGTGGCTCAAGTGGTAGAGCACTAGCCTTGAGCTGAAGAGCTGAGGGACAGCGCCCAGGCCCAGAGTTCAGGCCCCAGGACCGGACCCCCAAAAAAAAAAAAATCCAAGATAGACAGATGCTAGTGGCTCATGTCTACAATCCTAGCCACTCACAATACTGAACTGTTAAGGGTCAAGGTTGCAAACAAACCTTGGGCCAAAAAGTTGCAGACTCCCATCTCTAGGCTGAAGATGTGACTCAAGTGGTAGAGTGCCAACTATGACCAAGCAAGCTAAGCAAGTATAAGGCCTCTGAGTACAGGCCCAGGAACCAGGAAAAAAGAAAAGAAAAAAAGAAGGGGGATGGGGGGGATGTGAAGAAGGAATCCAAGCACAATGGTTCATGCCTATAATCCTAGCTACTCAAAAGGATCAGAGCTGAGAATCAAAGTTCAAAGCCAGCCTGGACAGGTCCTTTTAACAGTCCATAGATTCTTATCTCTAATTAGCCAGCAAAAAAAAAAACAGAATTGGAGCTGTGTCTTAATTGGTAGAGTGCCAGGCTTAAGCAGAAAAATATCGCCCATGCCTTAAGTTCAAGCTCTAGTATTGGTACATGAATAAATTAAATAAACAAATAAATTTCTGCAAGATGGTGACACTTCAAATGACAAGGCTGTAATATAATAGCTGCAAGTAGTTTCTTAGCGAGAATCAAATAATGTGTTGGATATTTTTAAAATAGTAACTTAGGCATGATGGCATACACCAGCACTAGGAGGCAAAGGCAGGAGGATGGTGAGTTTGAGACAGGGATGGGATAGACAGCAACACCGTCTCAAGAAAATAAATAACTGGAACTCTTTTTTGAGCCCCTCTCCACATAGAGAAGGCTTTCCTTTCACTTTTAAATAACTTTACTATTTATCTGTTTTAAAAAAATAAGTAATACAAGTTGACAATTTAATTAACAAAAACAAAAGCAACTTAAGAAAGTCACATGGCTGGGTACTGGTGGCCCATGCCAAAAATCCTATCCACTCAGTAGGCTGAGATCTGAGGATCACTATTCCAAGCTAATGCTAGGCAGAAAACCCATGAGATACTCATCTCCAATTAACTACCAAAAAAGCCAGAGCTTGAGTTGTGGTTCAAGCTCATGGACAGTGCCTAGGCCCTGAGTTCAAGCACCAAAAAAGACTTATACCTTTGATTTAATTTTGCAAAAACTAGTCATCATGTTTTCTAAAAGTTCATCCAATTATGGCAGAAGGAAAAGCGGGTAAATCAAAAAAATTCTCCTATGGGCCTAATTCACGAGAACTAGCTCCAGGGTACTTTCTATTACAAAATAAGTTCAAGTTAATAAAACCTTATAGTTAATAAGACAATATATAATTGTGTTCCTTAAGTACTTTAGTTAGGGAAATACGTTGAAAACACTTTTTATAAAATGAAGTTGGCTACTAAAGGGAATAATATTTCATTTTTCAAATTTCCTCTTCTCCCAACCTCACATAAAATTAAAGGCAATTCAACATTATCATTTTCCATTCCCATTTTCCACTCATGGTAAAATTTTAGAAGAATAATATGGTCAAGAATAGTGAAATTCTGGAGCTAGGAACCAGTGTTTAACGCACATAATCCTAACTACTCAGGAGGCTGAGACCTAGAGTATCATGGTTCAAAATCAACAAGAAGAAAAGTCCATTAGACTCCATCACCAATTAACGAGCAAAATGCTGAACTGAAGGTATTGCTCAAGTGGCAGCACATTAGCCATGAGCAAAAAAGCTGAGGAAGAGCATGAGACCTTGAGTTTATGCCCCAGTATCAGCACACACACACAAAAAAGACAAAAATCTTCAGAGCATCCAAAATTGATTAGAAATCTTAAAACACTAGTGAGGGTTCAAGGAGAAGAAAAGATTTAGGTTCAGACTTTTGTAACAATGACTAAATAATGTTCAGGCAATTCAAATTGTTAAAGAAAAATGGACTTGTAACTTGCCTCTAAGTTATGTGGATTAACACCAACGTAGGCTGTTGATTCAACCTAATGAGACTGGTCCCCACTATAGAATAAAACAGAAAGTATGGAAAAATTTAATCAGTAGAAGCTAATCGAGTTACAAAGTCAGTTTTTAAAAATAGCACACATCAAAAGATTAGAAGGGCAAGGGACAGTAGTACTCTTTTCACCCAGAAAGTCCTCCCAAACAGCAATCACTTTCAGTAATATATCTTTCATTGTAAAGATTAACGAAGAGAACAGACATATGGAATATTAAAATGCAGAGTCATGAGATGAAACAAGCTGATATAACATTGAGGACATTATACTTCATTTCAAAATTTCAACAAAAGAACAAGAGGGAGAAATGTAATTAGTTCAAACACTACCTCATCACTATCATCATTATGTCCTCTACAAGCCAGAACTCCTTTCACATTCTGACTTTGTAATTTCCATCTTTACCTGATTTTGAGGCAAGTCTGCTACAAATTAGTTTCCATATAGACAATTCATCAGCAAAAATGCTTCAAAACCAAAAAATTATATTCAAGTAAACTAAAATGAAAGAGGACACTTAAAAGAAACTGGAGACAAAGTAGAAGGAAACAAAAAGTAATTCCCTAGTTTATTAAGCATCAGATGAATTTAAGGACTAGTCTAAAAGGTAACAGTGGAAGAATGTAAAGGAGAAGAAATACTATAAAGGATATTTAAAACCTAGGAGAGGACTGGGAATGTGGCTTAGGGACAGAGTGCTCGCCTCCCATGCATGAGGCCCTGGGTTTGATTCCTGAGCACACATAAACAGAAAAAGCCAGAAGTGGCACTGTGGCTCAAGTGGTAGAGTGCTAGCTAGCGTTGAGCTGAAGAGCTGAGGGACAGTCC